AAAAGTCCATCCAGTTCAACCATTAAAAAAAAAAAAAAAAAAAAGTTATAATCCTATACCCACAGTTGATCTAGAGGAAGGAAAAAAAAAAACCCAATAAAGGATGATAAAGTTTGCTCCCACATGGCAAAAAATTCCTTCCTGATCCCCCAAGAGGCAATTGGATGCTCCCTGGATCAACTTTACCTATAAATGTTAGTATCCAGTTATATTGGGGCAGCACAGTGGCTAAATGGTTAGCACTTCCACCTGGCAGTACTAGGGTCATTGGTTCAAATCCCAGCCACGGCACCACCTGCCTGGAATTTGCATGTTCTCCATGTGCCTGCGTAGGTTTTCCTCCAGATACTCCAGTTTCCTCCCACACTCCAAAGACATGCTGGTAGGTTAATTGGATCCTGTCCAAATTGGCCCTAATATGTGTATATATGAATGAAAGTTAGATTGCAGACCCCTTGAGGGTTAGGGACTGATGTGAATGTACAATATATATATATGTATAGCACTGTGTAAATTGATAGCACTATATAAGTACCTGAAATAATAATATTGTGTATTTAGGAAAGAGTCCAGGCCTTTTTTAAAGCAATCTACTGCTACTGAGCTGGCAAACCCAACTCGAGGGAATCAATTCCACATTTTCACAGCTCTTACTGTGAAGAAACCTTTCCATATTTGGAGGTTAAATCTCTTTTCCTTCAGACGTAAAGAGTGCCCCCTTGTTCTCTGCGATGACCTCAGGGTGAATAACTGTACACTTTAATTATTATTCGTTAATTATATGAACCACTGATGTATTTATACATGTTGATAATAAATTCAGTGCCTCTACTTTTTCCTCACAGCTGAGCTCCTCCATGCCTCTTATCAGTTTGGTTGCCCTTTTTTGTACTTCTCCAGTTCTCCAATGTTCTTTTTGTGAATTGGTGCCCAAAACTGAACAGCATATTCCAGATGAGGTGTTACTAATGATTTGTACAGGGGTAATATGATATCTCTCTCTGGAGTCTATACCTCTTTTAATACAAGAGAGGATTTTGCTCACTTTAGAAACCGCAGCTTGGCATTGCATTTATTAAGCTTATGATCTACCAGAACTCCCAGATCCTTCTCCACCATTGATTCCCCCAGTTGTACCCCCCCCCCCCTAGTATGTATGATGCATGCATATTCTTAGCCCCCAAGTGCTTAACCTTACATTTATCAACATTAAACCTCCTTTGCCACAGTTACCCAAATGAGGTAGAGCTAATCTGGTGAAAATGGTGTGGATGCCCCAATTATTACACATTCTTCTGTGTGGATTCCACAACACTGGTTTTATACTATAGATTCACTCTTTCATGGTTTAATCTGGAAATATAAGCACCCTAGAATACATCTCTTTACCCTGCAGCTGCCTAAGAATGGGGGAGGACTGGCAATACCGAATGCTAAATTGTACTTTATAGCATCCCAACTAGCGCATTGGTATGAATAGAATGAATTAAACCTCGAAGATCGCATTCAAACTATAGTTTTCTCCCATTTCTAAGAACTCCCTTTAGTCCATCTTCTAGTTACGCATCATTTTTACACTAATCACAATCTCCTTACCTTCTGATACATAAACTGTAGGAAACAGTGCAGAATCTTACTAATGATAAGGGTTATACTAAGCACATGCCAATTTGGGAAAATCCCTCCTTACCTGAGCTAGGGATATTAGAAGGTTTTGACCCTTGAAAGAGGGATGGTCTCAGATTCCTTTATCAACTATATGTTGCCATACAGAACGCTATCAATTGTCCAACAAATTGTTTTTCCAGTATCTCCAGTTAAGTCATGCTTTACAGGCTCAAGCCTCCACTTTTAAGTTGAGATATAGGCCATCCATGATTTTGTCCATGGCCATTTCTACATCTTGTACTAAGAGAGGACTAATAGGGGGATCTATACTCTTCTCCCCAAAACAGCTATTAGTGATAGAACGCAGGTGTATGCAGCCTCCATAACTGGCAACAAGACATTCCATCAGTGGGTGATGTGGACTCTCTTTCCCCTTCACAGCATCTGACCCACCTTTTCATAGTCCATAGAACACATTACACTACCCTGAAGCTTCATTCTTGGAGGAAAATATATTCCTCAAACTTCCCTAGATAGGGTCAGCCACAGGATCCCAAATACACATGTTGTGGCATTGCCCTAAGCTTCACCGCTACTGGGTGACCATCTTTGAGTCCCTTAATTCACTCTGCTCAACTCAGGGTCAGTTGGACCCCAAAACTGGCCTTCTGAGCATTGTCTCAGAGGAGTCATTCCCCCCCATATGCAATCAATATGGATAAGATCCCTATACTTCGCTTGTAAAATCATCCTACAAAATGGATCTCCTCCACACCTCCTACATTTGAAAAGTGTCAGGACGCACTTAATTTTATGTTGAGGAGAGAGGAGTTAACATATAAACATAGGGGCGGCCCAAAAAAAAAAGTTTGGTCTTGGTGGCTTGATTCTAGGGGTGTGGAGATTGCAACTCCGTAGAGTTGATATTCATGTGTTTTTTCTGCTGTCTGATGCAGGATTGGAATTAATTATCTGGACTGTCAATCAAGCCATGATATTGGTTACTTTGTTTGACATAATCTGTATTTCTATTATGCATAAGGTTTCCTGAATCGGTTTAACACTAGACTTAAACAACCAATCACTGGTGCATGAAGCATCACTTGTTCTTTTTATGGAGCATGTTCATAGTGTATACATTTAATTGTTAAAATTGCATATGCGGAATTTTTTGTTTTTGCAAAGTAAACAAAATTAAAAATTACCTGAAAAAAAAAAAAAAAAATTTTTTAGAGTAAAATGAATGAAAATGTTAAAAAAGGTGTGCCAAAAAAATTGCTGATTGACAAGTGGTTAAAGCTGAACTCTGCCACCCCCACAAAAAAGAAAAAAAAAAAAAAACCCCCCACACATTCCTCAACAGGGACAAAGGATTAGTATGCTCCATTATTATGCCTTTATAAACCCAGATATTACCATGTAAACAAACATAGTGACATCACCACTGGGTTATAACTTAGTTTGTGCAGAGAGCAAAGCTGTGGTGGGGGTGAAGACAAGACCAGTCTTTAGTACAGTAAGCTCCTGCACAGTTGTTTCACACTAGATTGTTGCTCAGATCTGGAGGAAATACACAAAACATACCAAGAATACATGTCTCTTGTATGAAACAATGTTTATCCAAGAGCTCAGCTTTAAACATCAAAACATACAAGATAGTGTAAATTACATGGAGGTCCTCGAATAACAAGATCCCTAGTAAAACTGCCAGATGCATCAACCCTGCAAGAGGTAACAGTGCCTTATGTGCCACAGTAGTGTCCTATCCTAGTGTGATTCTGCTAGAACAGGTGGCAGTGTATAAAAACCTCCTAAAAATGTTCATGTCTTGCAAAATAAGATCAAGAAAAACACACAATTAACTTTGTTGTATGTCAAGCTGGCCATACAAGTATCAATCCATGTATAGGCAGGCTAGTCGTACAGAAGTCAATCTACCAATTGACTTCTGCACAACCAGCCTCTCGGATTTTCCCCGATCAATCAGCACCATCTGCTACAGCCAGCAGCACTGATCTGTGTCATTTTATGGCTTCATCATCATATTATATTACCTCAGTGTGCAGCGGCAGTTGCAGTTAGACCGCAATATGTACTTCAAGAAGTTACACTGGGATGATGCCTGCAGCCTTTTATTCTAAAGTGCCCCGGCCCCACTACGCTTGCATGCAAACACACGTGTTGGTACGTAAATGGCAAATTGCACCACACATAACGGACTGCTACAAATGTCAGAGCGAGAGCAATATTTCTCGCACCAGACCTGTGTAAATCTAAACTTGTAACCTGTAAATGATTTTAATGCGTTGTCTATGGAGATTTTTAAATACCACCATTTGGTGCCATTCCATAAGCGAGTGCAATTTTAAAGCGTGACTTGTTAGATATCTATTTACTAGGCGTAGCAACTTTTATACTTTACCAAAAAAAAAATTTGCCATTATGAGGTGTTTGTGTGCAGTAAAATTAATTCCTCTGATTGGCTAAGACAGGCCGAAAACGTCACAAACCCCACCTAAGTTGTCCTAACAATGACCTAGGAGAGAGGGGGGAATGTAGGACAGGATGATGCCATCTCTGGGTGTCTTTCAGGAGGTACATTATTTACCTTTGGTCAAAGCTGCACAGTTTGTTTTTACTACAGGCACCCCTTACCTGCAGTGGCAGATGCATAAACAAGCACTGATTAAATGTAATCTTGAAAGAGAAAGTGATTATTCAGGGAGGCCACTTAAATGTGTAACTAACTGATCCTTTCACCAAGCAATGGTATATCAGCAACATTAGGTATGTGGCATTACAACTGGGGAAGAGATCTCTAGAGAAGAACCTGACCATAATGACCAATTAAAAAGTTTCATTGTTTATACTTGGACAAAGAAAAATGAAAGTCACTGGTCAGAAAGGGCAATTTCTCCACATAGTTTCCAATCCTAGATGTAAAATATATTGAAACACGCAATTTCACATTTATATGCAGAGTGAATGGGCATCTATTCATTAATTACCCAATAATCACAAAGCTTAAAAGCCACAGGTAAGTTTAAGAAAAAGCATGCAGTTTATTTGGCGAGAAGGAAAATAGAAATAATTTATTATCTGCATGGTACAATAGCTATTAAACTCCAGATTCCTTTTGCAGTGGTTCACGCGTGGGAGCATTGATGAGGATGTAATCTCTTGTATCTAAGAGCAAAAACTCCCCTGTGATGAGCTGGAGGAAAAAAAAAAAAAAGACTGCTGTCCTGAGACAGACCAGTGGAGGAAAACAAAAATGCCCACCACTAGTAAGCTCAACCTTCCCTCCAAGGAAAAACAAAACATTACAGACAGGAACATTAATACAAAGAGCTGCCCCCTTCTGGATGCTGGTGGTCTATAGCAGAGAAGATTCAGCCATTCATTACCATCCGGACCAGTTCTGAAAAAAAGGAAAGGGGAAAAAAAAAAAAAAAAAAAAAAAAAGAGAAGACAAGAAAAAAAAACAAAAAGTTACTCATGTGTCTGATAGCCTGGACTGAGACGCGAGCTGTTCTGTTTACACAAGAAATAGGAATGTGATTTCAACCAATATGGGCACTGGACTCAATGTGATGAAATCACTATATTTCTGTGAAACTCAAGCCAAGAAGCACACAGTTCCTTGTAAAAGGGGTAGGGGCTCCCACATTAGGTTTGAAATGAAGTTTGTTGCTGAACATATGAAATTCTGACTTCTAAGTAAGGTCTCCTAGTCTACAGATGGATAGTAGCAACACCTGCTGTAGTTTAACTCCAAACGTCCCAAACAGCAGTTATACACACTTTGCTTTTCACAAGTGATGCAAACGAACATCTCGTTATCAAAATGTAGTACAAAAAAAAAAAAAAAAAAGACAAAAAAAAAAAAACAAACCCCCAAACACCTCGTTGCATCTAATGCAGAGAGCCTCAGTTCAGAGGAGTTGTTTGCATTCACTTAGAGTGGTCTGAGAGTGCAACTCCAGCTGAACTGCTCTGTGATGTGCCTCAAAACACTGCATAGAAAATGAAGCAGATTGCTCCTAATTAACATAGGGGCTTGTTTAGTTAGGAGCAAGATGTGCTCAGTTTTCTCAGCTTGCAAGAGTGGTGCAGGCATAAAGCCTACCCCATTTGTTAATTCCCCCCAATATGTCTGAGGGACCCAACAGACATGCAGTATTCTTTTCAATTTACTGGGAGAATAAATCTAACTAATTAAATTACACAGTGGACTCAATAGACATACAATAAAAAGGTCTCTTAACTTTCCTAGCAAACGTAAGTCTAAGTAAACCAATTAAATTACATGCAAACTTAACAGTACAGCTTACATATTACTATACAGAATTTATATGGCACCAATAGTCTGTGCAGTGCTTTACAAAATCCCAACAGATGCCATTTTTAGAACCACACCAATTAACAAGGAAACATTTTTCCCTGAGGTTTGTACTAACAGAGCAATCTCATCCCTACAACCATAGGAGCCCCTCTCCCAATTTAAAAATGTAATAAGCACTACTGATCAGAAGAATGTCATCATCTACAGCAAGTATTAAAAGCAAAAAGTATTTAGCTGAAGCATTGGAAACATCTACCATCTACTAGAAGAAGCAGTATAAATCAAACAGGACTGCCAAGAGCAAGGAAGCAAGAGTATTTGGAACTGCAGGAAGAAACCACATTGCACACACCAGTCTAACGTCACACTTCTGTTTCAGGTAAGTTTCGATATCTTTTGATAACTTTCCATAGTTTTTAGATATGACTAAACAACTTGTATTCTCATTTTACTTTGACATGTCCAACATGTTTGTCTTTTCAATTTTATTTCATCATGTTAAAGTGTTACTAAACCCACAACAGTAAATAAGTCTGTATATGCACTAAAGCATGCTTGTTATACTCATTGGAACCTAAGGGGTTAATCATTTGCTTGTGTAAAAAGGTAGTTTGATTTTGACTTCTCTGCCCCTTCTCTTGTTCAAATATCCCCAATAAAAAACAGACTGAACCCGTACCGTTCTGCACATGCTCGGTTTAAAGGGTCTATTTGTAGAGTTTATTTTTTTCCCCTTGGGAGAGTGCATGTGATCAGCACAGGGCCAATCAGCAATGGGTTTTACATCCTACCAGATCAGAAAGAAAACTCCTACAAGCCTAAACCTTTGCTCAGGTAAAGTCACAAGACTGCTCTAACTGCTGATGAGATAAGGTATTTAGCAGTTTAGATTTACTAAAATAATTGCATTTCCATGTTCTGTGTACTGTGGGAGACCAGATATAGAAAATGCAGGCTCCTGGGTTTAGTAACACTTTAAATACTGGATAACAATCCAGTCACTGAAAGATTAGTTTTCTGTCTAGAGGAGAAGTACATCTGGAAATTTGGAGTCTGTGCATGGATTGACCTTGATGCCACCAAGTTATTGTTCCTGATACAATAAACTTTGATTTGGACTCATACTTTTGAAAATTGGCACCATGGAGACTTTGTTCTTGGTTAATCTATCAAATACTCTAACCTGGATTTTAATAATCTTCCAGCAATATTGGGAATGACAAAATATCAAAATTATAAAAACCCCTAGGCTGGTTATTTAGTATCAAAAATTAAACAAATCCTAAATGCTAACAAATAAACTCGTCAAATCAAAACAGCAATTACACACCGCACACAGTCACAGGCAGTTTTTCTGCAAAAAGAGTTCATTGGCCAAGTTTATTAAGATGCCACCAAGACACCTTAATTTTGTTAAAATAGCTAACTAAAACAATGCAGCTCTGGCAGAGCAGAGAGCATGCAGAGACATGGCAATGCATCCAGGAGATTCAAGAGATTTAAAGAGGGATAAAGTAAAAACAAAAATCACAAACTGAAACCAGATGGAGGAACCAGCATACCCAGGAGGGGTGGTCAGGAACACATGATGAGCCTGATAAATTCTGTGGGAAGGAAGATTCATCAGAGAGACCCCAAGCAAAATTAAAATTATATTTAAAAAAAAAAAAAAAAAAAAAAAAAAAAAAGGACCATTAAACCCAAAATTCTAGAAGACTATCCTTTCCAATTTTCTTCCTCATCACAGTGCAAGCAACATCAGAGGCCTCTCCTCTGTGTCTCCAGCATCAAATGACTAAATATGTAAAAACAGTAGCTGGCAGTCAGTTGCTCAGGAAATGCAAATATGTACATTTGACACATACATCTGGAAATTCTTATTAAAGTGTTACTAAACCCACAACAGTAAAATCAGACTGTATATGCAGTAAAACACGAAAGAACCTAAGGAGTTAATACTCTGCATTTTGTAAAAAAAAAAAAAAAAAAAAAAAACTGTTTGATCCCAACTTCTCTAATCCTCCCCTTCTTCCAGTGTCCTACCCCTCTTATCTCCTAACAAGACATTATGTGGAGTCACTCTGCACATGATCAGTTTGGTGTGTATTGCTAGAGTTTTTCTTCTTGGGAGAGAGCATGTGATAAGCACAGGGCCAATCAGCACTCTGTCCAGACAGAGGTCAAGGACACTCCATCCTCCTAGTGCAGAATGAAAGCTCCTACAAGCTTTAACATGTGCTCTGCTGGACACTGATATAAATCACAAGGCTGCTCTAACTGCTGATGAGAAAAAAAGTATTTAGCAGTTTATATTTCCTGAAATAACTGCATTTATGTGTACTGTGGGAGACCAGATATAGTGAATGCAGGGTCCTGGGTTTAGTAACACTAACTTCTTTATTTGAAGTGATTCCACATTTAGGTTTAGTGGTCCTTTACAAACAAAGGATTACATAAAAATGAAAGTTAAAACATTTATAGGACAAAACACAGTCACAGTAGGAAAGTTTCTGCTGATGAGTGAAAAAGGATGAGAAATGCAACAAACTGAACAGCGTAATAGACACTTAGTAATTAAATGCTCCTTCTTTAATGGGGCAATTAAAAATTGTAAGCATTAAATAAAATCTGATATGCACAGAAGAGAGCATCCACTCACCTTCATAATTAATTTCACCATTAGCATTTTCATGCCCAAGCAAAAGCATTTCGACCTCGTCCTCTTGCATCTTTTCTCCTGGAACAAAAACACATTTTTAGAATATTGTTTCACGGTCCAATAAACAGACAGGTGACATAGGAAGCAGAACAACTGAACCAAGAAGAGGATTCACTTATGAACCATAGTTGTCATTTGCTGGCCTAAGAAATCCCATCACAAACTGCTATTAGACAAGCCTCAGACAACCCTGTCCTGTAATTAGATGGCCATAGTAAGTACTGAAAGACCTACTCAGTTCATCCATTCTCTCCTCTCATGCTTATTGGTATCAACAGCCTACTCAGATCACAACATAACAGCACTCTGTACAGCAGCCTGCCACTAAATGTCCACTGATTGGCCTAGCTTTTGCCCAAGCACTTCTAGTAACATCTAAAAATGAAATTTAAAAGATTACCTCTTCAGGGTGTATTACCACTTTGCCCTGTCCCTGGACAATGGTGGTTCAAACAGAAGGAGAACCTCTAAAGAATAATTCAACAGAATGGCTACCCTGGATGAAAACAGGTCATCTTATTTAAAGCAATTCTAAAAAGGTTTTTTTGGTAAAACAACAAACATGTCTATACTTACCCTACTGTGTGCAGTGGTTTTACACAGAGCAGCCTGGAGCCTCCTTAATTGGTCGCCTGGCTGTCAGGTGCCCCCACAGCAAGCAGCTTGTTATGGGGCACCCACTGCTCCATGGGTCCATTCACACATGGAGCCACAGCTTGCCCCCCCCACCCCCCCTTCTCCTCATTGGCTGAGATTGACAGCGAGAGACAATGGCTCCCACTTGCTGTCTCAGCCAATGAGGAGAGACCCAGGACAGCTGAGGCAGTCATTTAAATCACTGGATCGTGATGAAGCTCAGGTAACTATTGAGGGGCTGCGGGAGATGCTGCACACAGGTTTATCATCTTGCATAGAATGCATGAAGGTAAAAACCTTCAGCCTTTACAACCACTTTAAAGCTTTTCCTATACAAAATGTCAGTCATCTGATACCTGCAAATTCAGTACTGCACAACAAGATCATCTTCTATTCAATACAGATCTGACAGATTACTATTCCCCAAAAGAAAAAAAAAAAAAAAAAAAAAAAAAAAAAAAAAAAGCAGAATATGTAGCAGCAGAGATGTTTTGTTTCCAAGATGAAGGTTACCTAGAGTAATTAGAACATGGCGAAGTTCTGCCCCCATTACACATCCATTTCCTTCTTTGTCAAACACTTTCAAACCCTCAATGAAGTCTTCAATTGTGCACTGGTCCTTGTTTTTGGCAATTGTTTGCAACATGGGGAGGAACTGCTCAAAGTCTAGCATCTTGGTGTTCATCTCTGAAAACAAATGTTGGTTTATTTAAGAATAAAAAAAATTAAATAAAACACACTGTAGAATATATACCTAATGGAAAGTGTACCTGTCACATACACATAAGGCACAGACATATCGCTAACAAGTTAATTGCTATCCTGTAGAATCCTCTAGATTAATCTAAACAGTTAAAGAACCCAAAGGCTGAAATGGACATTGTAAAAAACAGGGCCAGCAGAGGAAGGTTTATACTCGACCACTTCTACATGTGTTGGATGCCTGCACTGTGGTTCCTTCTGCTGACCTCTACCTGTTGTGCCCTGTCCCGTGTTGCATCAATCATAGGCAAGACTAGTGTACAATCACTTACCATCCATCTTTGGGTTTCCCAAAACTTTCATGACTTCTGCATTTGTTGGGTTTTGTCCCAAAGCTCGCAAGACATCACCGCACTGGAAATAGAAGATTTTACCATCTCCAGTCTTATCGAAGAGACTAAAAGCATCTTTGTATTCTGGAAGAACAAAAAAAAAAAAAAATAAAATAATAACACACTAATCTTTATAAAGGTTCATCACATCCAGAAGGTATTTGTTGTCACAGCACACGTATGCTACCAACATGCAGACATAAGCAGGCTGAATAACCAAGCTTGAGATCTGTGAAACATTTGCATGTAGAATTCTGGACAGGTTATAAATACAGCCAATTCTACATACTAGGAAAAAAAAAAAAAAAAAAAAAAAAAAAAAAAAAAAGGTTTAGTATCACTTTTTTTATAACAAAGGGGCACAAAACACACGCTATACTTACCTGCTCTGTGCAAGGATATTTTGCCAGAGCAGTGACTTACTTTCTCCATTTTTCAGTCCCCCACCAGCACTCTGCTCCTCTTCCAATTAGAGTACCCCCTCAGCAAGCTGTGTGCTGAGGGAGCACGTGAGTGTGTGCGCACACACTTCCATAAACACACACTGCGTGGCTTGGGTACATCCCTGCTCTCCCCTCACAGGTCTGACTGACAGGATCACTTGGCTCCTGCTGCTATCAAAGTGTGCTGTGAGAAGAGGAAGAAAGAGCAGCGCTGCTGCACACAGGCACAGGAGGAGTCAGGAAAGTGTTAGGGGGGTGTTTACATTAATGTAGAGAATGCATTAAGGTAAAAACATTGTAAACTTTAGAACCACTTTAATTCTATAACAGTAACTGCTTACAAGACCTGTGAAATCCATCCTATCAGAAAGTTCGGAGGGGATCTCTTTCGCCTCACAATCTGTTACCATTTTAGGTGGTTATTTTTCAACAGTGCCATAGACAAAAATGACACTCCTGTTGAGGAGGCTATCACTCCAAAAGCTGAAGTACTTAAGACCCATTTATTTTCCAAAAGGTTCTGCTTATGTTTATAGGCTTGTTCACACTAGTCTGCATGCTAAAGTGATCTGCTTTAGCATATGGGCTAGGGTCAGTTCAGTGATGGCAGTGGGTAGCTATGCCTTCTATTTTTACAACTCCAAAGCAGTGTTTGCCTGTACACTTAAGCCCCTACGGGTGAAACACGTTAGAGGGGCTTCTCTCATGGGTAGGAGACCAAGCTGAAGTCATTGTTTACTAAGAAGAGCTCACTATATGCGGAGGCAATTGAGCACCACTTTGTTCTAGTTTTGATGTGTCCGACAAGCCAGTATTCAGCTCGACCAGATCCTGCAAACATTGTGGCCAATGGGGGGTAACAGACTGGGGCACTTGATCAATATCAGTTTTATTTGGTTTTTGCACTGTTTATCTTGCTACAGTTTGCCACAAATCACTGCATCCTACCAGAAAGTATTGTTGCAGTGTGAACAGGGCACAAAGAAAACAATTGTATTATACAGTATATGCCCTTGTAGTGACTAACATTTATTTTTGCCCTTGATCAAAACCATAGTGTTAACAGGCCCTAAAAAGGAGACAACCCCCAAACTATCCACAATGAAAGAAAACTGATAACTGTGGAATCTTCACTTCTCATGTACACTAAAAAGGCAAAAAAAAAAAATAAAAAAAAAAATTCACCTTTAGGAACATGTCACACCCACATTTAGGGTGCAACATGTTCCCAAGTTGACCCCTCGCCCCCTCCACCCTGTGACCGCATGTGGGGGTTCCTCTTCCCTACAGCTGTTGTCACATACATTTAAAATAATCACAGCTGTGAGGGCAGAGGTCTGTGAATGAATAAACTTGTGCCACCGCAGCAGACAGACTTGTTCTCAATGGACTACGACAACCAGTGCACTCTTATTCCATTAATACTTCCTCTGGCCTTTTAAGTGAAAACTTGTACAGGCAGAGAGCAGGAGGAGCTGTGTGCAAGAACCCCCTCCAGGGGGAAAAAGTAAAAAAAAATTTTTCCTGCAAAAAAAATGTACATTATTTATTTTTCCTTAAAAGTGAACTTCGCTTTTAATAATGAACTGCAGCTAGAGTAGGGTTTTTTGGGCTCCTGCTATACTGTTTGCAGAGTGGTGGTAGAGGTATTAAAGAAAAGCACTTCCGCCTGGCAGTACTAGGGTCGTTGGTTCGAATCCCAGCCACGGCACCTCTTGCCTGGAGTTTGCATGTTCTCCCTGTGCCTGCATGGGTGTCCTCCGGTTTCCTCCCACACTCCAAAGACATGCTGGTAGGTTAATTGGCTCCTGTCTAAATTGGCTCTAGTATGTGTATGTAGGTTAGGGACCTTAGATTGTACGCCCCTTGAGGGTTAGGGAATGATGTGAATGTACAATATATATGTAAAGCGCTGCGTAAATTGACAGCGCTATACAAGAACCTGAAATAAAGTTTGCCTGAAAGAGTCAATGCATTGTAGTTTGCAGTGATGGGGGTGAATTGCCCACTATTGTAATAAAGAACCGTTGTGGCATTCAGAAGGAGTAATGCACCATAATTTGTACATTACATTCAATAAAATGTTACCACATGTTCCCACAATAAATGTGAATGGGCCTTTAGGCTACTGGAATTAGTGTAACAGCTTCCTAAAATGGTCTTTCACAAACCATAATGGAAGTGTCAAACAACTGAAGCACAGATAACCTTTAGAGATGGGCATTTCTTGTGCTCTATTGTGTGTAGTAGAGGGGTTCAGTGGAAACAAATTGTCTTGCCTTGTCTCTTAGGAGAAATACAAATAAAACATTCTAGTCCATATTAGAGAGCCCATTCACACAAATTTTATTGCTGTAAAATGCATGAGATAGCACCTCATACAGTAACATATGATGCTGTTAAAGCACTGCCTATTACACAGCATTGTGTGAATGGACAAGAATAGAGGGGGCAGCTAAACAGTATTGCTTCCATGCACAGTGGGACAGAAGTACAGTGAAACATCAATAGTGTCTGATGTCAACACAATTAGTGATTCTCAAGGACACAGTCAGACACTGTATGCACACCTAATGTAAAAAAAAAAAAAATATATAAAATTTATAGAACATATATACATTTTTTTTTAAACACACACACACACTTCTAGAGCAAATGCATATCTTACTCAGGTCAACTAATAACAGTAAATACATTTTACATAAAGCAAGTAGCAGCCACATATGGGATTAGGGATATCGCCACTAAGAATATACACTGTATAAGTGATTGCATGGAATTCGTATACACTGTACAAATCTCATTGCACGGTTTTGGAAGCAGTGACATGCATTCCTCCAGCACACACACAAATTTACTGGCAGAGATCTTGGGCTACATGCAGAGTCTGTCACTTATTAGTGTGCCATTTCCATCCTGTACCACTCCCTGAGCAGCCCCTCCTGCTAAATTCCAGGGAGGGGAGCTGTAATCATCCCACACTGCACCCTGCCCGGGCAGCATTTTCAACCCAGCAGTACATTGTCTGTTCATGTTCATTCCTTACCTAAACAGTCACTGAAACAAGACTACAAAAAACTGCCTAGACATAAGGAAAATGTAGACGGGAGGAGGGACACCAAGGATCCTTCAGGCATTTCCTTGCCAGGAATGCAGGGAAGTCTTTCCTAACTCTATTCTAACTACTCCCCCTTCCTCGGCTGTACAGCACTAGGCAGCCCAGAGTGAGGCTTTATTACCATATAAGGTATCCAGAGAGCAGACGGGCAGCCATTGCATTGCTGGAGGAGAGGAAGGGGGTGGACTGTGTCGCACAGCAATGCTAAAAGTTATATTCAAAACCATAACAGTGCTACCCCAGACCCATGACACAGAAATTGCCCTATAAGGCTGAACATCAAAGCCAGTACAATAATGCATTTAGTTACATGCCTTGCTAGTTAGCTAGATTAGTGACTCTGCATGTAGCTGTGCTTACAATGCATGCACACTAAATATTATATGTAAAAATCAGTATCAGCCACCAACACACTCAGTTTTGAACAACTGTGGATACATGGCCCAGATAGGCAGAAACCTGTTTGGACCAGAAAAGGAGCTAGATTTCTATAGATTATGCAACTCAAACGGTTTGCACCATCTGCAAGAAATGGTGCTGCAGTTGTAAGAAAACCATAGTTGGCAGCGGGAGATTCCTCCATCCACAATGTTTATTGTGGATGGAGGAATCCATTGTTCTCTCACAGAGCCGAACAAGAGAAATCTAAATATGTATAGCTACCCTAAAAAAGGTAACTTATGTTATTTTCAATATTTAAAAATAAAAAAGGAAGAAGACGACGACGACTTGCCAATACGCCATTCTTGCTGACAGATCAAAATATCACAGGACAAGAGTTTAAAATGAGACTGTGTGGAGAATGCAACAGTAAGAGGATGCAGGGTTAAGGATGCAGAGAAGTTAAATGTTATATTGGTTTAGAGCAGTGTTTTCTCAACTCCAGTCCTCATGGACCCCTAACAGGTCATGTTTTCAGGATTTCCCTCAGATGAAACAGCTGTGGTAATTACGAAGGCAGTGAAACTGATCAAATCACCTGTGCAAAATAATGGAAATCCTGAAAACATGACCTGTTGGGGGTCCATGAGGACTGGAGTTGAGAAACACTGGTTTAGAGAAAGAAAGAGGGAGAGAAAGAGAAAAGAAAACTCAAGTGCACACTGCGATCACTTACCGTCTACCTGATCAGACACCAGGCAAGAAAGATAGGAATAAAAACTGAAAAGTGCAGGAAAAGAAGGTGGTAGGTAAGCGTACACTTATCTCAGAGGAAAATAAAAGTTTTTTTGACAATCACCAACATTTGATGGCAACAAAGTATCTAAAGCCTAGTTGGGATCAAGCAGGGATGGGTTAGAAACCCTGTCAGGTTTTTACTGCTGTCTGCATCCCCATTGAGGAAATTAACTAGTGTCACCATGACTGAAAGTGAATGTAAATACTCGCCAGCACACCATGAATCTTCAGTTAAGTCCAAACGTTTTTTTTTTTTTTTAAACGAAGAATGATCACATCACATATAGAGTAGCGCAACATTTCAAAGCCTTGCAGGTCCCCCTGACGAAGGAGTCCTGTGCAGCTCCAAAATGC